GCTGTCATTGGTCGACATATCACAACATATCAATATGGGTAGGAATCATGACGACACGTCTCTTCTAACATAATATTTGCATTGGTGTTAAATACTTTTGCATATGGGTTATTTTATTTATTGTTAATAAATGTTTCTCCAAACAGTGGTTTTAAATTTTCTTTCTATGTTTTGATCGACAATGTTCGTTTAAATATTTCCTATAAGTTTCGTTGAAATTGACCTGTTATTTTTCGAGATATGTAAGAAAAACCAATGTGTTAAATACTTTTGCTACCCACTGTATATAATGTAGTATAAAAATATAAATAAATTTTGAAAGGATAAATATTTTTGGAAAATTTGAATTTAGTAAATTTTTTTTATTAATAATAAAAATAATTCAACCAACAGCTTTTATTTTTAAAAGCCTAAATAATTTTGAAAAAAATTAAATTAAATAGTTTAGTAAAATTTTTATGATCCCCACCGCAGCAAGTTTAAAGCGGTTGTGTATAATTAGTTAGAATAATTAGTTAGAGTAATTAGTTAGCGTAATTAGTTAGAGTAATTAGTTAGAGTAATTAGTTAGAGTAATTAGTTAGAGTAATTAGTTAGAGTAATTAGTTAGAATAATTAGTTAGAATAATTAGAGTAATTAGTTAGAGTAATTAGTTAGAGTAATTAGTTAGAATAATTAGTTAGAATAATTAGTATGTTTTTGCATTCAGTTTTAAAACTTAATATCTAAACTTTTAAAAATATATTAATTTCAATAAAATGGTAAAAGAGAGTTAAAAACTTTCCCGATTATATCGAAGAAAAGATAACTTATATATTCGTGAAATATCTGATTGTATTAAAGCTATTGAAAATTCCCCGCCCAAAATATCTCAGGGAATTTGTGTTTTTACAATTTTTGTTTCGAATATTTCAATAAATGAATATTAAACGTTTTTTTCAAATAATTGTTTTTAATATTCTTCTTTTAAATTTACTTTGTTGTTTTAATATCCATTTTTTAAGTTATGCTTTTATTTACTATAGATATGGAAATAAATTCAAGAGAATAGAAATTTTAAAAATATGTATAGTTTTTCGAAATTATCTGCAGAATTTCTCTTTCTTTTTACTACTTCCTCCTTTTTTTATTTTTCATTTTTTTTGTTTTTTTTTGTTTTTTGTTTCTTCTATCCTTCTTGGATTTACTCTCTCGTTACATTCTCCCGGTTACTCTTTCTTCTTAATTTTCCTTCCTTTTTTTTTCATATTTCTTTCTTTCTTTCTTTCTTTCTTTCTTTCTTTCTTTCTTTCTTTCTTTCTTTTCCCCCTCATTATGTTTAATTTTTTCCTTGTCAATTTCTTTCTTTCTTTTCCCCTGTTTTTCTTTAATTCTTTTCTTTGTCAATTTTTCTTTCTTTCTTTCTTTCTTTCTTTTTCTTTTTTCTTTCTTTTTCTTTCTTTTTTCTTTCTTTCTTTTTTCAATTTTTGCTTTGTCAATTTCTTTCTTTCTTTTTCCTTTCTTTCTTTCTTCCCTCTTTTTCTTTCATTCTTTTCTTTGTCAATTTCTTTCTTTCTTTCTTTCTTTCTTTCTTTCTTTCTTTCTTTTCTTTGTCAATTTCTTTCTTTCTTTCTTTCTTTCTTTTCCCTCTTATTCTTTAATTCTTTTCTTTGTCAATTTCTTTCTTTCTTTCTTTCTTTTTTCTTTCTTTCTTTCTTTTCGCTGTCATTCTCACTCTTTCTTTCTCACTCCATAATTCTTTTTCTTCTTTCTTTCTCTTTTCTTTTTCTTCTATTCTTTTTCTCCAATCAATTTATCACCTTATTTTGTTTGTTATTTGTTTTTCCTTTCCTAACATTTCTGTTCTTGCGCAACTTGAAAGCCATTAATACAATTCGACAAAAATGTCGAAAGAACAAACGAAACTAACGCCATATCGAATCACTCCACCATTCGCTTCATTACCGTCTATCTCGTTCGAGATATCGAGATATGGACACTGGCTCTAAATTAGAAACCTGTAGTCGATAACAATAAACATTAATTAGAAGAACCCAATCAATTGTATAAAGACTCCAAGAAGTTAATTGACCTCACTGACCAAACTAAATAAATATTTGTTACCCACATAGAGGCGCAGTTAATTCCACAATTGAAAGCAGACCGTGACAAACAATTACTATGAGTTATGAGGAGTAGAAGACGGGAAAAGTGACGCCGAAATCCGAAAGCGCACTGGAACATTGTAAAATGTCTTCTAAAAGCTAAGCAAGGTATTAAGAAGCAGGAAAAATTTGGTTAGAAACAAAGAAAGGAGTGCTTACCTGTTATGTAATATCGATATAGCAGTTAGAAGCTGAACAATCTCCCCGCAGATGAAGAAGAGACTTGAGGCAACAGAAATGTGCTTCTACAGAAGGATGCTGAGAATACAGTGAGCAACGAAAAAGTAAGAAAAATAGAAAAATAAAAACATACTTAAATTAAGAAATTGACAATTGAAATTTCTAGGATACATAATAAGGAAAGAGGGCTTAGAGAATTTGACACGCACATGACAGCGTGAAGGCAAGAGGCACAGTGTAAAACCGCGTGTAAGCTATCTAACAAGCTTGTGCAGATCGTTGGCACAACAGAGACTAGGAGGGGTAGCAAAAAGACAAACATTATTCAGAGCTAAAATGACTGGAATTTGTGGAGAGTCACGATCGTTTAGAATAAGAAGACGGGGACAGGCTGACATCCCCACTAAATCACAGGCTGTTCATAGAAAGATAGTCTATGCATTAATTAATAAATGTTCGAATATGAGAAAACGATAAACTCTACAGGAAAAATAGAACCCAAAAGAAAACTTATACATAGAAAGAGACACTTGAGATTTATGGGATGCATAATGAAGAAAGAGGGTTTGGAGAATTTAATACTCAAAGGACAAATTGAAGGCAAGTGGTACAGATAGAAATAGCGAGCAAACTACAAACGAGCTTGCTAAAATTGATGACGAACGGGTACTAGAGACGGGATTGTAATAGGGATAAATATTGCTTAGAGCTACAAAGGATAGGAAGGTGTGGAGAGCTATAATCGACCACGTACTGAAGGGACACGGCACGTAAAAGAAGTATTATTTGAATTTAGCTTTTCTTCAAAGACGTTTTGTCCAAAAATATTTTTTGCAAAAGCAGAAGAATATTAATTCAACAGTTTTATCCAGTCATTGAATTTATTCTTTCATAAATAAACTAGCAGTAGAGCCCGGCGTTGCCCGGGGGTGTAACAGTAAGAGATAGATCAAGTATCGACCATAATAAAGACTGAAAAATAAAATTGACAAACATAATAATGTTTAAGGTTGACGGACACTCATGTCTTAATTAGTTTTTTTTTACGAATTGGTCAAACCCAAACTACAACAAAAACATTGTTTTCAATCGTTATGAGTCTATCGATTGAATAGAATTTTATTATAAACAATTGTCTTGTAAATGGAATTTTTAAAGCATTCTGAATGCAAAAATAAAGAAAAAAGAACCACTAACTGCCAAAAAAAGTGAAACTTTGTTGAAATCGGTTGAAAAATGTAGGAAATCCGATCCCATATATAAACGAACACAGACACAGACACACACACACACACACAGACAACCTGGGTTTTATAATAAGTATGACCCGATATGAGTTGTCCCCCTTCCATTCTGGCGACAGAATCGTGTTTTCAAATTAATTTTCTGCAAAAACAATTGTGTTTTTCCAAATTTTGGCGCTGTCAGAACCACTGCAAGGTAATTTTACGTAGTCCTGTGAAGTTTTGTTGAAATCGGTTGAAATATGTAGGAAATCCAATCCAATATATAAACGAACAGACACACACACACACAATCTGCGTTTTATAATAAGTAAGATTAATAAAAAATATTTGGATGAGTTTATATAAGTGTTTCTATATAAATCTTTTAAATTAAATTATGTAACTTAAGTCTATAAATTAATTAGTTAATGTTCGAACGATGTATCGATCAACTGCAGACTTTCCCTTTAACATCGCTCATCAGAATCAGAGGGTCAGATAAATGACCCTTCTGAGTGTTACGCGAAACTAAAACAGCCTTATACCGGGTGTAACAGGAAAATTGCCCAAATTCTGTAACAGCATGAGATAATTGTCCACCCTACAAAATGTCTAATGTTAAAAAAAAACAAAAAAAAAAAAAAACACTGAACTAATTGAATTTCTCTTTTCCAGGTTTTTAGATAAAAGTTTAGCCATGTTGACACCATTTGTCGAAAGAATCATTGAAAAGTCCTTTGAGTTATTCAGTTAGAAAAAGAACAGATTAAAATCGTTTTGTGTCAGCCCCTCTATATCTTCCTAACTGAGCAATGGCGAGAGAAAAAAAGATCATTCAGGCCTTCAGTAATGGTACCAACATTCATACTCTGGTTTCGATCTTCAAAGCCAATTTTAGAAAAGTTTAAAAAAAGAGCGAACAAAGAGAGGGTAATTGGATCAGGAGGTCACAACAGGCAGAGGGATCCTCATCATTTCAACTTAGAGTTAAATACATTCTTATTGTTCAAAGTAGAGTCCAATAGCGTTATAAAAACCTTGTAGAATTCCAGTAAGATATTTTTAATCATTTCTTAGGTACAATGGTTCAAAGCTTAATCTAACAATTGGACAATTTTGCCCGTTACAACTGGTATATATATATATATATATATATATATATATATATATATATATATATATATATATATATGACATCACACATTATGAAATGGACACAGTCCGACAATTATTTAAAGACATTTTTATGTTTAACATTCTTTTTATAAAAAGAATGTCAAACATAAAAATGTGACGTCATTTGTTTACATTTGATACTCCATGAGCAGTTCCGAATATACGTGAGAGATTCATGGAATATTGAAGTTTATAAGCAGTAAATTCGACCTTGCCAGCCGAACGATCATTTGTGGCCGTGCGGTTAGGTACGTCAAGCTATATGACGGCTTCTGTATAGGATACAGGTTCGAATCCTGTCGAAAGACGAATATTTTCTATGAAAATTTCTCGGACATTCAGGCCGGTAAATGTTGTTTAATACTGTTTATTATAAACATATCATTTACTTAAATACTTGTATCTATAAAAAGAATGTTAAACATAAAAATGTCTTTATATATATAATGAATGTATTTAGGCAGCAGATCATTATTCAAGTGTGTATATATATATAAGATTTGTGTAGTGGATTTCGTTTCGGGAGAAAATAAAGACAAAAACTGTCCAACATTTGTTTTTTTTTTTATTATGCTGTTCTTTGATCTAAACTTTCGGCCCACATACACTATCATAAGAGTAGTTATATGGACATTACAACAGAAATGTTCACCATCAAATATGACATAGAAGTTTGTGATGATAACGGTCGCGGAATAGCAGACACAGATCATAAATTCGTAATGCGGTTCTATGACGTCGTTCATGACCACGTGAGAGAAAGAAATATTATCAACAGAACCATATGTTTAAATGCATTGTAATATGTTGCGACTAGATTGAAATGTAATTTTGTTGAGTGTGGGTTGCTTTGTTTTAATGTAGATGACCTCCAATTTCTTTATACTGTGTGTATGCGTGAGTATTGTGTTATCAACTAATATCTTTCTAATATTATGTATATGGCTATGCTTTTCTAAGAAATGTTGCTTAATGGAACTAAGATCAGAAAGGTGACACGTAAGTCTGCGTGAGAGAGTGGTTGTAGTAAAACCAATATATACATTCTCTGAACGGGCATGTAAATTGATAGACTACATTGGTTTTTTTGTAGAGGATTTAGTTGTGTGGTTGTAGGGTTATTGGAGTTTTTTTATAATATAGCACGAGCTTAACTTGTTTATTATTATTAATGTGTTTAACATTTCTTCTTATTATGTTTTTGAGTCTTGTTTCATCGTGTTTGTAATTATTATGAATTTGGTTACAATAGTATAAGTTAATAGTATTATGTTAATTTTGACATACGCAATTATGGTGACAATTATTATTACTATTATCACTATTGTTAGTGGTATTATTAAGTTTATTGAGATACATTTTAATTTGTTGATCAATGAAGGAATTAGGGAATCCATTACTAACGAGTGTTTGATAATATATAATTATTTATCGAATATGTTTTTTGTCATGGGTCCTTACCTATAACTACAGAATGAACTCTTCCTAACATTATGTATACTACGCCTCTCAAGAGAGAGGGTCGAATCAAGCCGAGCTTCTCGACTTGACGGTCGAACTCTCTGCTTTTGAGCAGAAAGGAACCCGGACGAGGTTCCGCCGAAGGGCAGAATCTCGTTCGGGGTGAAATGACCACCCTATCTCGTTTTTACGAGTTATACGGGCATTTTTTTTGCTGAGCCTACGGGCTCAGGGAAACCCACGATAAAAATGACCTTGTGTCGCATGCAACCCTCGTGGGGGGGGTGGCTAGATACTGAATCAAGCCAAGCTTCTCGACTTGACGGTCGAACTCTCTGCCTCTGAGCAGAAAGGAACCCGGACGAGGTCCGCCGAAGGCAGAATCTCGTTCGGGGTGAAATGACCTACCCTATCTCGTTTTTACGAGTTATACGGGCATATTTTTGGCCGAGCCTACGGGCTCAGGAAACCCACGATAAAAATGACCTTGTGTCGCATGCAACCCTCGTGGGGGGGGGTGGCTAGATACTGAATCAAGCCGAGCTTCTCGGCTTGACGGTCGAACTCTCTGAGCTGAGAGGAACCCGGACGTTGGGGGGGTGACTAGATACCGAATCGAGTCGAGCCGATAGTAGTTCACTCCAAACCAGACATGATAGTCATACTAACACCTTCCACATCTTGTATTATTATTTCTTGTAATATACCTTCGTTATTTCTACTCGTGTTCGTGTTGTTCTTCCTTGGTCCTAACCTGGACCATAACAGTTTTGGAAGAAGATATCATTTGTGTGCGTTGTATTAAGTTTTTTTTTGTAAACGCTAAATTATATAGTTGGGGGCATTCACTATTATAATAAAGAAGACACGATTTAATAATAGTGGATTATCTATATAGAGAAGTGGATTATCTATATAGCGAAGTAGTAAATTTATGTGTGTTGGAATCAATAAATGCATCAAGAAATGGAATTTTATGATTAATATTGAGTTCTAGTGTAAATTTGAGGACGGAGTAACTTTCAAAAATTTGTTTTAAAGTTGTGTAATTTGATCAATATTTTAGCTAAAATGAAAATGTCATCTATGTATCTTACATATATAGCGGGTTTGTTAGTGTCATGAAGTATTTTATTTTCTAAATGTGCCATATAATAATTAGAAAAAATGGACCTAAAAGAGATCCCATCGCGATACCATGGTTCTGTTGATAACCTTTCTTTCTGTCACGTGGTCATGTACGACGTCATAGAACTGCATTACGAATTTACGACCTGCGTTTGCTATTCCGCGACCGTTATCGTCGCATAGC